ACTCTTTCCTGCTCTTTTTCTCAGAGACTTCTATCTTTAGTCAGTCATCTTTGCTGCATTTTTCTTTAACTTGTAAGGGGATAATCTTCCAGATTTTGAGGGGCCCCTTTCTCGGAGGAATTCCTGGGGATATAGCCCCTATTTGATGAAATGCAGAGTGACTAAATTAACAAAAGACTGACTAAAGGTAAGATTATCTGTTTGAACTGGAAATCCTGTTTTACAAGCGACTATTTTTAAGAAACCCTATAACATAAAAAGGGTATGCTTGTACCTTCATGTTCCGGTCTATTATTTTCTGCCAAACAAGATTCTGAATTTATGAATACCACTATCTGTGTGTATGTCTCATTGGGAATTTGGACCTTAGCCTGCATACTTCCTGCCCTCGAACTTAAAAATCCCAAATGTATAGGCACCATTTCAACTAATTTCCCCAAACCCATTCAGTTTTTGCACTCTGTCTAAGTGTACATGCAGCTCTTAGTCCCATGCCAAAGCCCTACGTGTAACAGGAGAGAGGGAGCTGGTGGGGTAAGTGAGACCTGTAGGATTTCTCTGTGAATTTGTATAGCCAGCTAAGCTGCTGGATGGCAACAGACTTTTGTGAGTTTAAATAAGGGAGTAACTTCTCTAAGGAGATGTTCACTGAAGGCTTCAAAGCTTTTTTTTGGCAAGGTAGTTTGCCTTTCAAAATAGTGGACCAGCTCCTGTGAGACAGGAGTTAAAGTGCTAAAGTGCGTGGACGAGAGGTCGATGCGTGTTGGTGCTGTAGTTTCTTCTGCTATGTGCTAATACTATCTGGCGGAACAGAATCCAAAGTTTTCTATAATGTACATAGCACTGCACATTGCAGAGGGGGAAAAAAATGTCAGTGCTCTTGGCAGCATGGGGTGCATCAGCCATGGACTTACAAGCTACCATTAAGGTGCTATTTGAACTGCTCCTCTCTGAGCTGATAGAGGTAGTAATAAGGCATTTTAACTATAAAACGCTCCAATAATTCAAGTCTTTCTAAGCTCCTAAGTCTTTAAGAAAGTCACAGAATGATACTATTATTAGATTGGGAAAGGCTTATCTCCAGAAGTACAAATGTATTATTTGTATGCCAACAGATTTAACTATACTAGAGGGACAGCACAGGAAAAGTCCCGGGAGAAGGCTCAGCTCACTCTTTGTGAAAGGCTGTGAAATGTTGCATACGTTGTAGCTGTATGCAACTGTAGGTCTGAAATGCCAAAGTTCAGCTGGGATCCTGAGTGCTTTAGAGATAAGAGCTTCAACTTAGCTCATCCTTGGTATGTAGCACATGCACTTAGTACAAAACAGATATTGATGATTTTCAACAGCCATGCACAGAACTTCAAATACCAGTTTCTATTTATCTTGGTTTCTGCAAAACAGACAACCCAAAAATACAGCAGATTTAACACTGCTCAGGTGTGAAAGTCAGGCAAAGGTTTAGGGCAACATTCACATTGAACAGACACTATGACTGTCTCTAAACATCAGTGCCAGGACAAACGTGACAATACTATCACCCATCTCGCACACAGCTAATAGCTGAAAATCCTAATGCAGTGAATCCTGATGCTGCTGAAAATTCCAATGCCATTGAAAATCATAGAATCGTAGAACTTTTGGGTTGAAAGGGACCTTTAAAGGCCAT